GATAGGCGGATTCGAACTCGAAACCTTCGGGTTCGCAGCCCCTACACTCACGCAGCGAGACCACTGGGCCGGTTGATTTCATATGGATATCTATAGTGGTCTTAGTATAAATATGCATCAGACATCCATCCGTCATCTATCATAGAGATGGAGCTGTAGATGTTGCATGGATCTTTAATGGACATCATCTTCTGTGTGGGAAGTGCGTATATTGCAGAAAAGAGGATCACGCCATATATGAGTGCGAGGATTATTTGCGATTAGAAATCGATAAAAAAATTAAAGAAGCCAAGTTACGCAAGTTGTGTTTGAATTGTTGAAAAGGTACGTCTCATCAGGCTCAACAATGTAGTATGGGATCATGTCGCAAATGTAACAAATGGCACAACACGCTGCTTCACTTAGAACAAGCATCAGTAAAGTCAGAAGGATACGACTTCCACGAATCAAGAAAAGGTGGTGGCTACTAGTGTGAGTCACGCCTTGCTAAAACAAAGCAAGCAGGTACTTCTTGTGACGGCAATGATTAGAATAACAAATAGCAAACGTGAAAATGTACCCTGTCAAGCATTATTGGATAGCGGGTCACAATCATGTTTTATTACTAGCAGTTGTGTCAAAAAATTGTTTCTGAAATAATTCTCTGTAAATGTACCTATTCGTGGTTTGGGAGAAATGTCTACTCAAACAAATAAAAGAGTTAAAATAATGTTGCAGTCAAGAATCAACAAGTTTAAGGCTAATCTTGATTGCTTGGTCGTGAATCAAATCACTCAGGCCATACCAGCAAATCGGATCATGGTAGATTAGCTAAAGGTTCCAGAAAATATTGCGTTGGCAGATCCGAAATTTTATAAGTCGTCTAGAGTAAATTTGCTTCTGGGAGCAGAGATATTTCTCGATCTAATGTGTATCGGAAGAATCAAAGGTTCTAAAACGCAGTCAACGTGACAGAAAACTTTACTTAATTGGATAGCATTGGGCAGTTTGATAATCACAGATCAAAGGTCAAAAAGCCTTGTGTATAGCCTGGTTGTTAACGAATAGTTAAAGTCAACTATTGCTCGGTTTTAGTAAATTGAGCATAACGAGCGCCAATGTACACGCTCCCCAAAAGAACGCATTTGCGAAAGACATTTTACTGAAACGTACAGACGCAATGCGGAAGGGCGGTTCATTGTATTCATGCCATTAAGGCAGGAGCAGTATCAAAAACTTGGGGACTCAAGAGACCTGGCCATTCAGCGATTCAAGAACCTGAAAAGAAAATTGGAAAGACAACCGCAGCTAAAAGAAAAATACACAAAATTCATACATGAGTATTTGGAGTTAAACCATATGAGAGAAATCCCAAGGGACGGTGTAAGATGGAATGTCCAGCCTCAGTATTACTTGCCACATCATTATGTTATAAAGAAGGGCACTACCATTAAATTTGAGTGGCATTCACTTAGACACTGTTCAATTGGACACGTTGCAATTAGACACGTTGCAAATAGACACAGAATTTTAGACACGGTTCAATTAGACACGGTGCATTTGGACACGCA